CGCCGCGGCTGCGGGCGGCGGCCCCGCCGGCCGTGCCCCGCTCCGTGCGCGCCGGGTGGGGGCTCCGCGCCGGCCCCCGGGGCAGCTGGTTCTGCTTGGTGCCACGGGGCCGCCGCTGCCAGGGCCGTTCCTGCCCACCTGGAACACCGCGGCCCGGCCCTTCCCAGGTCACTTGCCGGCGGCCCCGCCGGCCGTGCCCCGCTCCGTGCGCGCCGGGTGGGGGCTCCGCGCCGGCCCCCGGGGCAGCTGGTTCTGCTTGGTGCCACGGGGCCGCCGCTGCCAGGGCCGTTCCTGCCCACCTGGAACACCGCGGCCCGGCCCTTCCCAGGTCACTTGCTTTTACATTTTCCTTCTGGATTCACGTCTCTGCCCCTACCCCCCCCCGCCCCCCCGAAGACAAAAATCTGCACCACCCTCCGCTTCCTCCTGCCTGGAACCTTTCTTCTCCCCAGAAAACTCTTTCCCTCCCCATCATGTCATCTAGTAGTGTCAGCATCTCTCTGTGCCTCTTTCTGTCACATGCCCCACATCTGCTCTTTATTTTCAGTGGATGACTTTTGAGATCACCCCGGGTACAAAGGAAGGTTTTCTCCCCCACCCCCAGACAGTTTGTCTCAGGTCGCTGCTCTCTTACACCCCAAATATACAACTCCCAATGCTTTCCAGGCAGATCACTGCACTTCAATAATCAGCTTCAGTTTCCTGCTCCAAGTGGGATGAGTGGCTTAACTGGGCTGTTCATCTGCAGTTCTCACTGCTGGTAAAAAAGAAACTACTCAAGGATGAAGCATTCCAGTGTAGAAGCTCCAGGGACCCAGGTGTTTCCAGAGCCTTGAGAGATCGACAGTGCGTCCTCATGGAGCTGCCTCAATTCTAAGGCAGGAGAAATTATCCCATGTCCAGTGTCTGCAGGCAGCTGAGGAGCATCCCTGCAGGTGGTGCTGTGCCTCCCTGGGGCATGGTGCAGAGCTCCATGGCATGTGGTATTGCTGGCAGCAGGAACCCCTAGCAGATCTCCATTACCCTACCTGGCATGCAGGATTTTTGACCAGTGGTGTGAAAAACTGTTTCTATGCAACAAAACAGCAAGGACTGAGCCTTGGAAGGAGACAGTAAATGGGTTTGCAGGGAATTATCCTGACAGCAAGCTTTTCACAAGCTGTGGGTGGCCGTGCTTTAAGATGAAGGAGGGTTGATTTAAACTGGATATTGGAAAGAAATGCTTCCCTGTGAGGGTGGTGGGGCACTGGCACAGGTTGCTCAGAGAAGCCATGGCTGCCCCATCTCTGGAAGTGTCCAAGGTAGGATAGGGCTTGGAGCAACATGGGATAGTGGAAGGTGTCCCTGCCAATGACAGGGGTGTGGACTAGGTGACCTTTAAAAAACCCTTCCACCCAAATCAGTCTGTGATTCTATGCTTATCTGGTGCCACAAGTGGCCAACATTTGGGGTTGTTTTGCTGCACCTTACGCACCCAAGGACATCAGGCCAGGGATGGGACTGTGAGACATGAGCAGTACTGTGGGGCCGTGCTGCCTCAGGAACAGCAAGAGATGCAGCTCTGCTTGCAGTGGGATGACCGGACAGGAACCCAGAGGGATGGACGGCTAGAGGTCCTTCCTTCCCCAGAAACCTCACAGAGCTACTGGATGGTGCATGTCTCCATGAGTGTTGTTTCTTGGGCTCCTGGCACTGCCTCCATCACCCTGTCACCACTCCCTCACTGAGCACTGCCTGCACTGCAGTGTTGGTCACTGAAATGTCACCAGTAGGTCCTGCCCTCCTAGGCCCTGCCTAGCTCCTGAGCTGACCCAGTCACCCCGTGGTGCTTGGTGGGGTGCTCAGCCACGCTGCTGGTGGTGGCAGTGGGTGCTCTGGGGCGCAGTTTGTGGGTCTGCCCCAAGTGGGACAGTGGTGCCTCGCTGCACACCCGACAGGGCCGAGCCAGCAGCGCCAGCAGCTGCCCACTGCGCTGCAAACCCTCAGCTCTCTGCCTTCTCTGCAGGTCTTGAGGAGATGACAACCTGCAGCCCTTCACCTCCCACCACCCCAGAATTAACAGCCCATCATGCCACTGCAGCAGGGACAAGGGCAGGGGGTGTCCCATGCAGGCTGGGGCAGGCAGAGACTGCCCAGACCAGGCACACGCTGGGACGCCAGGGTGATGCAGGGAACAGGGTGACTGGCAGGTGCTGAGGTGACCCCATAACGCAGTGGTGGAGCTTCCAGCATCCCCTGCTTTCCAGGCTGGATTGAAGCTTCTGCTTCAATGTTTCCTTACAAGAAAACTTCTGCCCTTGCCTGCACAGCCCTGCCCTGCCTTCCCCTGGGAGGGAAGTCCTGGAAGGGACAGAAGCAGAAAGGGAACAAGGGAGAGAGGCTGTGCAAATGGAGCAGCCCAGGGGAGGGAGCAGGTGCAGGCAGGGCCATGGGCAAGAGAAGGAATGCTCAGCTGGGACATGAAGGCACTTTGACAGAGGATCAGCCCTGACGTCAGCTGAGGCTTTTCAGTTTCTTAGGAAGCAACAGAGCCAGAGCCTTGGATCTTCTGAGATGGCTGGGACAGATGCCATGGCACAGCAGCAGACCACTGCTGATAGCCCCAGCCAGTTCTGCGTTTTCATTAGGACTTTGCAGAGCAGAATATCCACAGTGCTAGTGTCTCTGTGCAAGAGCTCCAGCCACTGGGCTCCTCCCAGGCCCCCAAACAGGAACACTGCACTACAACAGCAGGCAGATGGAGAATGACCTGACCCTGCAGCACTGTGAAATCATCTCCAGCTGCTTTTTGTGCAGTATACCAACATGTAAGTGCAGGGTGGGCTGGACGAGGTGAGTGAAGATTTGTCCAAAGGGGCGAGGGGGAGTGCGTGCAGATCGGGGTGGTTCCTGGAGAGGGACCCTGGCAAGGAGAACAGGTAGGAGGGAAGGAGCCAGGTGGCTGTGGCTGTGTGTGCACCAGGGAGGTGTGAGAAGATAAGGAATCATCAGGTGAGGTCATGCCCTGGTCCTCACTGACAGCCTGGTGAGCAGGGCTGCTGGAGCTGCAGGGTCATGGGGAGGATGTGGAAGTCACAGCATACACGTGAGTATACAAGGGAACTTGTGCAGCTAATGGGATCAGAAAGCTGGGTGAAGATTACTGGAGGATGGCTTCTTCTCACAAATATGAGGCATAAAGGACAATGTCTTCCTGTTGCTCAGGACACAAACTGGGGAGATGGTGATCAGCCCTCACACACTTCTGGCAGATGCTTCTCGAGGAGCACAGAGGGAAGGTCTCACCTGAAGCTAAGGTGCCTGAGGAAGGAGCACTGCAGGGCTGGGGGAAGGCAGGACTGCAGCACGTGGGTCACTGTGGATGGGGGTCCAGTGCTACAGCAGCACCACATCAGCTGGCAGGAGCTGCCCTCAATCCCAGGAGAGGGACAGACCCTGATGGTGGGCCAGGCAGGCTCAGTGCCCATGCCAGACTGTTCCATCCTGGAGGAGCAAGGAGCCGGGCCAGAACCACACTTGGTGCTGGGGATACTG